AAAAAAAAAAAAAAATTAAAAAAAAGAAAACTTTAAAACTTGCAAAATAATTTTTAAAGTACACAGAGGAATTCTGGAAGAAAAACTCAGAAACCTACATTTCATCATCTTCATCCTCTTCATCCACCCAAACTGGCTTCTTTTGAAATAGAAAATTATCTTTTGCTTCATTCTCCACTTCCGAGTCACCGGAGTCTTCCTGTACTTGAACCTAGAGATGACAAAATTGCCTTCAAACACGAGTTTTTCAGCAGACTAGTTAGATGTCTTGTAAGAATGCTTTGTAGGCCCTCTGATGAAATAATGGGACAATGCCAGCAGAGCAAATGCTAGAGACAGAACATAAAAGCAGAGATTAGAGAACAGCACCATAAGATGGACAGGCAGGTAGGATGAGAGCACGCTGACATGCTGAAAGGAAAAGATCAAGTAAGACAAGAACAACAAAAGGTAAGTGACAGGTGAGGAAAGGAGCAGGAAAAATCCGGGAACTACAGAAATCACGGGATGAGAGACAGACTAGCATCAAAAACAACGTGATTGAGGGGTGCCTGGGTGGCTCCGTTGGGTAAGTGTCCAACTCTTGATACCAGTTCAGGTCATGAGCTCAGCGTTTGTGGGATGGAGCCCAATGTCCGGCTCCATGCTGACCGCACTGAGCCTGTTTGGGATTCTCTCTTTCCCTCTCTGCCTCTCCCCTGCTCATGCTAGCTTATTTAAAAGAAAAAGAAAACTTACACTCAACTATCAAATCTAAATCTAGACCATAGAACGCTCCCAGAAATGAGCTTGAGCTTTTCCAAAGACCATATTAGACATGTCCACTTGATTTCTCCCTGGTCTATTACCAGCCTATGATCCTTCAAAGCTCAACAAATCCCACCTCACACATAATGTCCCTTTTCTCAACTACAAAACTGTCCCACCCGCCAGCATTTGTCCAGTAACAGTGCTCTACTTCTCAACTAGTTTTCTGCAGCTTCTCTCATAAGCACCCAAAGGAGATTCTGGCAATCAATTGACACTGGCCACTTAGTAGGTCTGCATTCATTTCCCAAACTGAGTATTCTGTGAGGCTTTGCTGGGCCATCCTACGTAAAATTTCACAGCTCTCCACACACACTCATCTTCCTTTGACTAATACTTTCATTTTTTTCTCTTCAACACATGCCCCTGACATGTTTGCATTTTATCTTCTTCTAGTACACATGCTCCAAGACAGCAGGGATTTTTGTCAGGTTTTGTCCGTTGCTGTGTCTCCTCCACTGACTAGAACAATTTCTGGAACTCTCCTTGTCTCGAAAAAAAAAAAGTTATAGCATAAAAGGGATGATTACAAGTGTGCAAAAAAAAAAAAACTGATAAAAAAGTGTGCAAAAGGAAAAGGGATGATGAAAAGAATGCAAGATTTTCACTGCCAGGAAAAGTACGTGGTCCCCAACAGGCTAACAACGACCTAACAGGCAAATACACGATCATTCTCAAAACTTCGCTAGTCAATCACTTGGGAAGCTGTTAAAACGCACATTCCCAGGCCCGGGCCCACGAATTCTGATTCCACAACTCCCAAATCACGGCAAGGTGCTGAGGCAGGGGATCGAACGACGAGGAAAGAAACAATGATTTGGGGGAGAGGAGGTGGGGCTGAGCCGCGAAAAAAGCTCGCGCCTGCAGTTCGCTCAACGTACGTGTAGAGCGCCTGCTGGATACTAGGCGCAGGGGCTGCCCCGGGGGCGGAGAAAGGCGAGGTCCCCGCCCAGCTGAGACTTCCAGTCTGGCACCCGTCGGCGCCCGCCTTCTCGGGCGCCCGCCGACCTGAGCGCTCCCGGCGCCGCAGGTCGCCCAGGCTCCGCCCCCGGAGGCTCACCGCCCACCGCGCGCCCCGCCCGAGCGCGCCCAGTCCGCGCGCCGCGGCCTCCCTCACCCGCGGGCCCTGCAGACGCCGTAGCAGCGCGTCCTCGTCGTCCTCGACGTCGCCGAACACCAGCTCCTCCAGGCACCGCTCCACGGCCGGCTTGTCCTCCTCCAGCGTCAGGCGGTTCTGCTGCCGGAGCCGTCTCTCTTCCTCCGCCGCGACTGCGATCGCAGCGGCCGCTGTGCTCGGCCGGGCCGGCGGTTTCCGCTGGGATGAAGGAGCAGCCTTTCGGGGCGGCCCGCCCGGCCCTGCTCCAGCTCTCCGGTCCGGCTTCATTCGGCTCTTCCGGCCCAGCCTCACTCCGGTTCTCCGGTCCGGTCTCGTTCGGCTTCTACGTTCCGGCGGCATCGTTGGGTTTGAGAAGAAACGCAGGCGCTCACGTGGAACCTTGCTGCGCGTGCGCCGAGACGGTTCGGTTTCCGCGGCCGCTGAGGCCCCGCGGGGTCGGAAGGAGCCTGCGCGGCCTGTTAGCACGTGACCGACACTCTCTCCCTACGTAACGCCCACTCCCCTCACCAACCCCTCCCCGTAGGGGAGTTCCTCCGGGAGGACCAATCTTCCGGGTGGAGGGGGAAGCGGCGTGACTGGAGTGGAAAATTTTTTCCAACACAACTTCGCGGCTGCAACTGATTGAAAGGAGCACAAGAAAGCCAGAGTATAGAGTGGGATGACTGAATCAAACTTCTACTTTTCTTCCTGACTCTGTAACCACTCGACTTCACACGAGCCGCGGTTGCCTTTCCCACCCCTTCGTCTTGGTACAGCCCTTGGAGTACGGAGCCTGCAGAGGGTCCCACGCTGGAGGAGAGAGAGAGGAGGGTATGTAGGGAAGTGGGCCAATCGGGGCGCGGGTCACGGCGCAGGCGCGCTGGGGAGGGAGGGCTATGCTAATGTTGTTGATATCCTGGGGCCACCCGAGTTAAAGGGGGGAAATCCGGGGGCTGCCGCAGCCGCCACCGGTCTGGGCCCAGCGGGGGCTCCCCTGTAGTCGCCGTAGTCCTGGGGAGAGGCGCCTGCCCCCAGCTCGGGGAGGGGGCGCCGCGGGCCCGGGGAGCACGGACAACCCCTACCCATGAGGCCCTGATGGAAAACACAAAGGATCTGGTGAGAGCCGAGCGCGGCAGCCGCTTTGTGTGCCAGGTGGGGGGGACGCCTGCAGCTCCCCGACCCCAGGAACCCCTGCAGCTCCCTGACCCCGCTCCCAGGCCTGCTTCTCCATCCCACGCCCCCTCAACCTCCAGAGTCCCCCTCCCCCTACCGGCCGTTAAACGATTCGGGGGGTTCCCCTCCCCCCACCCCTCAGCCCCGGACTCGGCGGGGTTCTCTCTGCTCCCTTCGCTCTTTGGAGGAAAAATTTTAGAAGAAAGTTTTTCTCTGCGTCCCGCCCCCCCTCCCCCTTCAGCCCTGGCTGGTGGGGGGAGGGAGACTGGGTTTGAGACTTTTCCTTTTTTAGCCGTCCAGGGTGGGAGAGTGGAGTCCTCACTTGCCCCGGGGGCGGGGGCTAGATTCGGGTGCTTTGCGGGGGAAGGTGCCTGTCCCCTCCGGGGCGAGTGCCGCGAGGCATTTCGCACGTGGAGGTGAAAATAGCGAAAGGGGGCGGGGTGGGCACGTGTGGGAGGGAGAGGTGGGAGTGGTGTTTTGGGCAGCAGCCGCCTGGGCCGCTTGTTTAAAAGGGTTCTAGGTCGATGGGCTTCTGGGACCGTTGCGTTCTCTTTTGTGAAATAAGAATCCTAACATTTCAGAGTCGGAAGAGACATTAGAGGTCACCCAAAGCAGCCGTCCCCTCTGCAGCCTCTCTGACAAGTGGTAGGTAGTCTGGCCTGTGCCTAAACCCTTCCCAAACCTGACCGCTCTCTGCCGCCCGGGAAAGCCCTTCCGCTTTTCCAGCCGTTCGCATCGTTGTTCGCCTGCCCCTGTTAGACCTTCCAGTCTCATTCATGCCCTTGTTCAGATGCTCCCTTTTTTACTTCTCAAATTTTCTCTCACATCCTCCTCACCCACCCACCGCTCATTGGCCTATATTTTGTGTGCCAGGAAAGAACAGCAGGGAAGTGGAGGAAGGAGGGTTTGGGAGATAGTGAGGGCCAGCTGAAAACTTTGCTGGGTCATTTTTCAGATGCACTGGCTTGCATGCCTGAGGACGGTTGATATTTTTCTACAGGAAGCTTGGGAATTACAGTCTGGGATTTCATGGCTGTTCTCTGTCACTAGAGTGCATCTTTTTTGTACTTGGAAAACTCAGCTTCATTCTCTATGTCTCCTCTCTCAAAGCACATTAGCTTGTTGCCTAAATCACTCTCCCTAAGGATTCCTCAGATTGCCTTTGGGGATAGTACTGAAGCTGTTAGAAGCATCTCCTGGTGCAGACGTGGTCAGAGCCACTCCCCCCCCCTCCCCCCAACTTTGACCTGTGTCTTCCTTTCCAACCCGGCTTCCTTTCAAGGCCCCTCCCTCGCAATGCTCTCGTTTCTTTCTTTGTTATTTTCTTGTGCAGTTCTTATAGGAGATTTGAAGTTTTTGGAGCACTTTCGTATTTGTTTACAGTTTGCATTAGTTTTTATGTTCTTCATTTTCGTGTATGCTGTTTATCACTCAGGAGCTGAGATAGTTCAGTTTCTGCTGTTGTCAGTTAACGTTTTCCTAATGTTGTCCTTCAATTGGTGAGCTGTGCTGCCCCCAAAAGTAGTTTTGTTGGCATTAGAATGTGCAGGGCGCTTGTCATTCCTCTTCCTTGAAATGGAGTCAAGACTATATAAGATGTGGAAGTAATGAATCTGGTGTAAAAACCAAAGAATAAATTTCCTTTTAAACTCCCAGTGCCCTGTTTAAAATATTGAAACAACATTTTTCTCTCTCCCCCTCTTCTGACTTAGAGACTCTTGCTGTGCTCTGCCATGCTTACTTAGACTGTTTGTTGTTGTTTTTTTTTTCATTTGTTTACCTCAACACCAATGAGTGTTTAGAAAGAAAATAGCTGTCTTTTTTTGCACTCTTTCTCTGAATAACAAGTAGCTTCTATTTATATAGAACCCATCTCAGGGCTTCTGGGTGCCTTATAAATTACGTAAACCTGTCTTGAATAAGTATTTGTTCATAAGTATTTTCTATTGGGCCATGTTTTTTAGCTTTCAAATTTTTAATTTTAATTTTTAGTTTAATCCAAATAGAGTTTGACATCTATTTCATCCACATGTAGTCACTAGAATTTAACATGGAAATGAATACTAGGTGCTGAAAAAAGCTGACAGAGCTGTGTAATTCTGTCTTTAAAGTTTTAATTACTATGGAGTCCCAAGTTATTTTCCTGCTTGCTTTAAACATGAACTGTCATGACTTAAATTGACTTAGGAGACATTTGCGTTCTGAACATACTAGACAGGAACAACTGGTTTTATTTTTAAAGAAGACACTGTTGTATTTTTTTTTTTTTTTTTTTTTTTTTTTTAATGGGTGGTTACATGTTGCTGTCTAAACCTTCCTGCAGTTCAGTTGCTTCTAGTCCCTGGAGTTGTTTGAAAATATAACATAGTAGTCAAAAGAAGGTAGAGCTGTAAGTTGCAAGTGAAAACAACATATTAATGTCACAAATACGAAACCACTGGATTACTGAAAGCCAAGAGTGCTCAGTGGTTTGAGTGACCACATTCTAAAATTAGACAAGTACTATTTTTTGGTTGCTCCTTATTTCTCAGTTTTCATCTTTAAAACATTTGCTGAATAAGATGTAACCTATTCACGTTTATAATTTTAAGGTAAGCCGGTTAAAATGTAACATTAGTTTCAGGATTTCAAGTCCAAGAGAAAGATAAAAACAACGGGTCAGTAGACGAGGAAGGAGTTAAAATGGTTAAAGCAAGCTAAGAAATGCCTCCGAACACCAGAGTATTCTTAACTGTCAGACACTACTCTTAGTTTTATACAAATTTGCAGATTGCTTTAGATTTAATCATGATTTTTTCATGACCTTCCCCCCTGACATGCACACACACAAATGTAGACTTTTTTTCTTTCTTTGCTGGAACCGAGAAGAAAGGGTGGAAAGAAAGTAATTCCCATTTGAATAAAGCATGGTTTGAGATGGGATGAAGTGACACAGAAAGAGAGGCACTAGCAGACTAGGTTAGCGTTTCAGTTCTGCCACTGACTAGCTTCATAGCACTTGTCAGACGAGATCCTGTGCCTCTGTTTGCTCATCCTCCCGTTGAAGGGCTGGTCTAGAATCAGCACTGTCCTACAGAAGTTTGTGCAGTGATTGGAATGTTTTATACGTGTGCTGTGCAGTATGGCAGCCGCTAGCCACATGTGGCTATTGAGCACCTAAATGGTAGCTAGTACAACAGAAGGACCGGGTTTTTTATTTTGATTTATTTTGATTTATTTTGATTTTTGGACACGCATATATAAAAGAGTGTTTTCCAGGCTTAACTAATCATTAAAACCACCTCTTGTGGCCCTTGCAGCAATACAAAACCTCTCTCCTGATGGTTAGCATTCAGTAGGTGTGCAGCAAGGCCTCTGTTTTTAACGCATGCCCCAGAAACTTTTTCAGATTGATTAGGGAAACACTGCATTTGAATATTTCTGAGCTCCCTCCTAGTTCTCACTTCAGTGTGGGTAACTTAGAGTGTAGTTAGAAATGAGCTTCTGGGAAAAGTTGGCAAACGGGCCAGGCTCTCACTCTGCTGCTTCTGACCTGTGATCTTAAGTTGCTTAACCGCTTCAGTCTTCATCTTTCTCACCTGAATGTGGGCCGAGCTTCAGCGCTGCCTCAATCCCAAGATTTCTGTAAACCAGCCAGTGTGTAAGAAACTAAGGTGCTATGAATGATAAAGTATTAAGTATCCTCCCCAAATCCCTTTTTCTTTTTTTTTTTTATCACTGTTACCTATTACTACTCTTATTCTCATGGAACAGATTGTATGCAGTACTCATTACTTCAGTAATTCCTTGTTCTCCCAACTATTCCTTGTTCTCCGTAGTTGGCAGTCTGTGTGTAGGACATGCATAGTAAATCTAAAACATTTTTGTACTTCTGTTGCTTAGCATAATGATTTGTCTATATTGCTCAATAAATATTGGCTGATATGTCATCTATTGCTTTACTTTTAGGCCTCAAAACTTTAGTTAGCTGGTTGCAAATTATTTTATACACCAAAGAAATAATCTCCTTACGTACACATATGTGTTTAACCATATTTTAATTGTATCGTTATTAATACCCAACGGTTATTAGTGTTCAGTGACAATATATCTTTTGTTCGACCTGCTCCAGATATATTTTCAAAAGATAAACACCAAGAGAATATCTTCTTACATCAGTGTTTTTATTAAGTTTTTTTTTTTAATGTTTATTTTTGAAAGAAAGAGAGCATGAATGGGGGAGGGGCAGAGAGAGAGTGAGGAAGACACAGAATCTGAAGCAGGCTCCAGGCCCCAAGCTGTCAGCACAGAGACCAATGCAGGGCTCGAACCCACAAAACGTGAGGTCGTGACCTGAGCCAAAGTCGGACGCTTAACTGACTGAGCCACCCAGGCGCCCCTACATCAGTGTTTTGGGTTGTATCAAATCAACATCATGCTGAATAGTCTGTTTAACTTGTTTTTTGCCATATTTACATATTAATAAATGATCTCATTTGATTGCTCAGACTGCATTTGTACTACAGTCCCAGCCTTAGTATGAATTCTGTTATTTGTGATCGAATAGATAGCTGGTAATGATTTTAAAGACCATCTTGGCTACTGCATTTCATATTTAATTTTGACATGGTCATCTTATTTTTAATTAGCTTTTCAGGTTCATACTTAAGGATTCATAGCTTTCTTCTGAAGAACTGAAAGCCCATTCATGTGAATTATTTTATTTAATCATACATCCTTCCTGTGTGGTAAGTGATGTTTTCCTTATTTAGAAGAGAGGGAAACTGAGACCAAAGTAATTGTTAACATCCAAAGTCTTAAGTGGTAGAACCAGAACTTGAACCCCAAAAGATAGAAATTTGTATTTCTTACATGTCCAAGAACAGCTTGCTTTTGTTCACTGTTGGATGTAGAATATTGTCCTCTCCTGTTATTCCCAGGGTACTTTTCAGTCTAAAAAGGTGATTCAGTATATTATTGCTTTCAGTATCCTCTTGATTGTATCATTGACATGAATTTATTCTTTCTCATTGAACTTGTGGAAAACAGAAGCCCAGTAATCCCAAGTCCTCACCGTTTATCTTCCTCCTAATAGTAAGCTGAGCAAGAATAAATGCATTTCGGTTTAGGCCAGTGAATTGTACCCCTATGCCAGACAGCTTTTCACCTGATGGCAGAATGAGGAAAACCAGCAAGGGCTAAAGAGCTCTCTAGCTCCTACTGAGTCTAGTTATCATAGATCTCTTAACTCCTTCAGTTTTCACTTTGTGAGTTTACACATACAACTTTCAAACGCAAGGTTTTAGGAAACTTATGCTTCATGACTATAAAACCTAGAAAATTAGGTGGGCTGCTGTACCCTATTGGTTTGGATAATGGAGAGTTGATTAACTTATGTGAGTTTAATCATATTGAAATTAGACTATTACCTGGTTGTGTATATTTATCTGTGCTTGCATTTAGAATCTCAAATATCTTCTGTAAAATTTCTCCTAGGAAAGTTTTATAATTCCTCTGTAGACTTTATAGGGAGAGAGGTTCATCAGGTGACAGTTACAGTAGGGAAATGAAATTCTGCTGTGATTTGTCACTCCTGCTTATGTTTTACCACTACAAAAACCTTGTTTTATTTTTTTCACTACAGAAGTATTATACATTTTTTGTTTAAACAAGGAAAATGGGGGCACGTGGGTGGCTCAGTTGGTTGTACATCCGACTCTTGATTTCATTTCAGGCCATGATCTCATGGTTGTGGGATCAAGCCCCATGTGAGACTCCATGCTGAACGTGGAGCCTGCTTAAGAGTCTTTCCGCCCCCTCCCGCCCTTTAAAAAAAAAAAAAGGAAAATGAAAACCATAGAAAAGTTAATAATCCTTCCATCCCATTCTCACCCTGTTAATAGTTTAGCTGTTCCTTCTAGGATCTTCCTAAATGCATATACAAACAAACATAGATCTATCAATCTGTGCACATACCAGCATATATTGTTTCTTTTAATAAAAAGTGAGTCATGCCATTCCTACCTGCAATTTGCTTTTTTCCTCAGTACTTTACCTATTAGTATTTATCTCTCTACTGGTGGTTAGATTGCCTCCAGTTTCTCACTGCTACATTATTGCTGCAAGAAACCTTTTTCCACACAGATCCTTGTGTCCTTTGAGTATTTCTGAAGGACGGATTCCAAAAAGCAGAATTACATGGTCAAAAGGCATACTCCTGTTTTTGTAAGATTTCAGAAATAATGTCAAATTGTCCTCCAAAAAGGTGGCATAAATTTTCCCTCCTATGAAGGGTGTGTCAGGGCTGTTCCACACATACATTTGCCAATGCCAAATATCCTCAACCTCTCCATTTTTACCAGCTTAATGAATTTTAAGAAGGTGATTTACACTTCATGGAAATTGACCTTTATTTTTATAAGAATAATACATACGCCTAATGTGAAACCATGGTAAAAGTGCCCCCAAAACAGGGTCCTTTATAACAATCTCTTTCTCTTCCCAATATAGCTCTCATGAAACAAGTCCTTTTAATTCTTTAGCTTTTTCACCTAGAATGTATCTCCATGATTCTGATTAGGCTTATATCACCCAGTGTATGAATCCTAGATATTTTGACTTTCTCTGTGGTGAGTGAGGAGTTTTCACATTTGCCCGAATACCAAGTAATATATTCTCCCAACTGCAGTTTCCCATCACCTTACACTCAAGGTCTCAAATAGATAGTAAACAAATGAACATGATTTTTCAGTTTCATTTTGAAGAGCAAAGTGCTAAAAAAAAAAAAAAAAAAAAAAAAAAAAAAAAAAAAAAAAAAAAAAAAAAAAAAAAAAAAGGCACACTACTGGAAATAGTTTTATTTGATCCTTGTTATCTGTGCTTACAGAAGTTAGCTGACAAACAATAATTAAAGGGAAGAAAGAGAGAAAGCAGGTTAAAATTTAACATAGGTTTAAGATTATTTTCTTGATTCATGTGGCTAGTGTTCATTTTAGCAGTATGACCTTGGGCAAGTTGCTTAGCCTACTAGAGCCTCTGCTTCCTCATCTGTAAAATGGGAGTAATAACATTTATGAGGATTAAATGCATTACTACACATCAAGTGCTTAGAATGTGCCTGCCACATACCAAGCATCTTGTATGTATTGTATTAGTCATAATAGATCTTTACAAATCACTAGTAAAAACAGTCCAGTGAGGGATTTCTATGGAATTTAAAATAAACTCCCATACAGCAAAATGTGTTTCTGAATCAGATTTGATAAATATGGAGAAGACTTACTCTGTAAAACTGTTAGGTGATACAAAAAGTGAATCTGATGAGGACAACGTGTTTCAAAAAATGGCGAAACCAGTATTTCTAAAAAGGAGTAAATATGTATGTGTAAACTTCAGTTTTGGAGAACAGTGGCAGCAGCCTGATCCAATTTCCCCACCCACCTTTCCATAAATCTGTATAAAGCCAACAAAGAGTACATGTCAATCAGACACCACCCATGCCTTTAGCATTATTAATAAGCAGGTTATCAGGGGTGCCTGCGTGGCTCAGTCGGTTAAGCGGCCGACTTCAGCTCAGGTCATGATCTCGCGGTCCGTGAGTTCGAGCCCCGTGTCAGGCTCTGGGCTGACAGCTCAGAGCCTGGAGCCTGTTTCAGATTCTGTGTCTCCCTCTCTCTGACCCTCCCCCGTTCATGCTCTGTCTCAAAAATAAATAAACGTTTAAAAAAAAAAAATAAGCAGATTATCACAACCTTCAGATTACCTCTAAGGGAAATAATCAGATTCCAGGAGCTCCTTCTGCCAAGTCCTGCGGGATGTGAAGAATGAGAGAGAGAAGGCTTAATGGTTTTAATGGGTTCAGTGATAGGGTTTTAGGCCATGGAACACTTAGATGAAGCACAGAGTATCGCTTCCAAAAGAGAAGACTCCAACACTAAGTTCCAAAATACTGAACACAGGTTTGAAATTTGGTAGTTTGCAGCTTCAGCCATGGAGAAGAGCTTGAAAGTAACCAGTGCCTCGTAGGGAAGAGGTGGAGACATGGCAGTGAAGAGAAAGAAGGAAAAGGAGAAACTAACAACTCTTACAGAAAAAGAAAGAGAAAGTAAACATAGGAGCGTTCTGGAACCAGGAACCCTTGACCATGAAATAAATAGGAAAGAGTGGAATACATGCAGACAGACCTATTGGAAAAAATAATGTGAATCAGAACATCTCAACTAATGAAAATCTTCCTCTCCCCCACCCAGAAAAACGCAGAAAAAAATTGACACAACACTCAAAATGAAATAAAACGCCATCAGACCATTGGTTAGAGATACAAGGAAAAGAAAACCATGATTCAGAAATCTAAAACTAAGAAAGGAAAAAAAAAAAACAGGAAGAAATAAAATCAGAGTAGATTACACTTAGAGAAAAGAAGAAGAAATCCTATCATATGAAGACTGAATTATAAAGTTTTCCCCAAACAGTAGATTCGAAGGCAAACATAATAAAAGAGATTGAAGCAAAGCAGGAAAATGGTCAAGAGAATGAAAATGAAATTCTTTTCTAACTGATACTTTAAATGGAAGAGGGGTCCGAAAAGTAACATGTATTTAGTGTCCCTCAATAAGGAAAAAGAATAGGGGCACCTGGACTGGCTCAGTTGGTAGAACATGTGACTCTTGGTTTCGGAGTTGTGAGTTCAAGCCCCATGTTGGGTGTAAAGATTACTTTAAAAAATAAAAATTTGGGGGGGCACCTGGGTGGCTCAGTCGGTTAAGCGCCCAACTTCAGTTCAGGTCATGATCTCATTACCGTTCATGAGTTTGAACCTCATATCAGCCTCTCTGCTGTCATCACAGAGCCTGCTTCAGATCCTTGATCTCCCGCTGTCTCTCTCTGCTCCTCCCTGCCTGAGCTCTCTCTCCCTCAAAAATAAATATTTTTGGGGCGCCTGGGTGGCGCAGTCGGTTAAGCGTCCGACTTCAGCCAGGTCACGATCTCGCGGTCCATGGGTTCGAGCCCCGCGTCGGGCTCTGGGCTGATGGCTCGGAGCCTGGAGCCTGTTTCCGATTCTGTGTCTCCCTCTCTCTCTGCCCCTCCCCCGTTCATGCTCTGTCTCTCTCTGTCCCACAAATAAATAAAAACGTTGAAGAAAAAAAAAATTTAAAAAAAAAAAAAAAATAAATATTTTTTAGAAAAAAAGAAAAATCTTTTAGAGGCGCCTGGGTGGCTCCATTGGTTAAGCATCTGACTTTGGCTCAGGTTGTGATCTCACAGTTCATGGGTTCGAGCCCTGCATCGGGCTCTGTACTGACAGCTCAGAGCCTGGAGCCTGCTTCAGATTCTGTGACTCTCTCTCTCCTCCCCCACTTGCACGTGTGTGTGTGCAAGTGCGCTCTCAAACATTAGGGGGGGAATTTTTTTAATAAAATCTGGTAATAAAACCATAATCAAGAAAACTTTCTGGCTATAGAGATCTAGATCTATACATCAGAAGTTCATACCAGAAGGTGAACTGCAGGCTATGTTTTAGTAAAGCTGTATGACTTTAAAGAAACAGAAAAATTCTCCAAGCTTACAGGTAAAAGATGAAGTGCCTTACAAGGTCTAGAGAATTCGACTGGTATCACCTACAAAGCAAGACAATAATGTGGTAGCATAAGGAAAGAAAATTCTAACCAAAGATTTTATATCCAGTCAACTGTCTTTTGAATGTCAAGACTGTAGAAAACGTTTTAAACACGGACAAGAATTT